GGCTTGGGAAAATGCCATTTGTATGGGAGGCATGGGTGGCTCCTGGGCCTCATCAATTCTCCAAACACCCAGTGAACACATACTCATATTTCTTCTGCTTTATGTTAGGCATACCTCATAGCTGATACCTTTCACTTCATTCCAGCCTGTTAGAGAAGAAAACAGTATCCCTGCCTCTGCAAAAGCTGTGGCCTGGTGGGAAGTTGTCCTTTAAAGCATAATATGGACTCTTTCAGGGAATGAGTCAAAGAGGGTTAATGCCTGTCTGAGAAAGGATACCAGCCTCTAGCTGGAATTGCTGTTTGCTTCTCTCCTCAGTCTCTACCTTCTCCCTGATGGACTTTCTCTTACTAACCCCCAGAGATAGTACTTGATCATTGCTGGGTGATTTGAGGCCTCATGTGGCAAAGGTTTACTTACCTGGTCTACAGCCTTTATTTGTTTACTGTCCCAGAGCCCATTTTTGAACTCTTGGGTAGGCTCCTCTTCTCATCTCTGCCCCTTTGTTGTAATAATAAAAAGAAATGTACAACACATTACAATTTTCAAAGAACTTTTATAGTTATCTCATTTCACTCTTGCCATACAGCTGTCATAAAAGTACTGGTTATATCTATTTAAAGGTGAGGAAAAAGTCCAGAGAGGCAAAGTGACTTAGCAAAGGTTACAGAGCTGAGAAGGGCTGTAGCCAAAGTGTTTTGATACCAAACCATGAGCTCTATCCATGGGGCCAACCTGTCTCTTCCAGCTGTGCCCATGGACTAGATGGCTAGTCATGGGCTGGCCACATATGTCTGTACTAGGGTAGACAGCGAAACTCTGAAAAACCTTCCCGTGTTCCACTCATTCTTTGAGGGAGAGGTGATGATATTTGTCCACTCTGATGAGAGTAGTATGGCCTCTTCTGGGAGTCTAGGGCTCAGGAACACAACCCTGTTCTTGAAGAACCGCTGATAGGAGAGAAACTGCTCTGCCTTGCCAGGAATATCTGTCTGAATTGGGTCTAGGGAAAGTATATCTTAATCTTTGGCAAGCATTTTGTCTTTCGAGCTCTTAATACTTCGCCTTTTTTTTTTTTTTTGAGGGGGTTGGTGTATCTAAAAGTTGGGAGTTGATGGGACAGAAGCCCACAGCTTCTGTTTCATGCTGCGGGAACTGAGGACACTTGAGCAATCTAGGATTTAGAAGGAAGAGTCATGTGACAAGGCTGGGCAGGAGGAAGTGGCCCTCTGCAAGGAGAGTTGGGGAGCTGGGAGCCTGCAGTGAGAAAGTCTGTGGTAAGAACCGAGATAGGCCTGGAGTGGAGCACTGAGGAAGCTGGTGGTCTGGCACTGAGGGTTTGTGTGTCCATATTAGCCAGGCCGGGCCCCTTGTCCTTGGCTTTGTCCTGGCCACCCTCGCTCTTTATGGCTTGTTTAGATACCCAGCAGGTCTCCTTATCCAATTTTCAGCTGACACAAAGCCAGCAGGGATTTGCAGCTGATGGGCTCGAGACAGGTTTATATCCAGAAAGACAGCAGTAGATTATAATAAGGGACTAACCCAGGACAAGGAGAAGGCACACAGAATTATATAGGACCAGGGAGATCTTGTTTGGCCCCAGGTCAGTTCTGGGGGTTGTGATTATCAGTGTAGGCCAGTAGTAACAGGGATGCTGAACATTAATAAAGCCACATTAATAGAGATGTGGTGACTTGGCAAGGGAGGGAACAGTTCCACTGTTCATTTCAGGTCAGGATACACCAGGTGCACCAGGTTTGGTTCTGGGAGTCCCATACAGAGAAAGCATCAAAGGAGAGGAGGGTAAACATCCGAGAGGAGAAGGGACCTGCCTTCAAGAAAGGAGCACACTTGGACGGTGTGACCCAGAGGCTGAGGCTGGGACTCTGCCCTGAAATAATATGAAGAATGGCTATTGAGAGGTTGGCATTGCTTTCCCTTGGAGCCAATAGCCTTGTCTGGCTTCACAGGGCCTCTCTATCCTGGGAATAGACAGCCTTGCTGGAAGGCCTGGTCTGGGGATCAGGAGGGCCATTCTTGAGTTCCTGACTTGCATCAATTTCCCCTCTTGATCCCACTGTTTTTGGTATTTTCCACCTCTTCTGGCTTCCAGCCTCCAATATCCTGTCTTCTTCATAAGGTGCTGGACTATTTTCTGAGGCTCCCTGCTGTTACTGAATACCTACTTTGTGCCTCTGTCCATCTTTTCAGGACCTCTACAACTTCTTGGTTCCACATTAATTGATCCTGGACCACCGAGCTGAGCTCCCAAGGGAGGCAGGACCTGAGTCTTATCTTACATTCCATACAGTCGGGCACTTGGGATATTCCTAATAAAAATATTTTTGGTTCTTAAAGTTTAGAGTTGGACTGAGAGGAGAGCTCAGGAAAGGCACGTTGGGCTAAGGGCCCCAGGGCTCACTTCTTCCTAATGGCCTCTCTTAGGACCGAGAGGAACGGAAGCTGCTGCTGGATCCTAGCAGCCCCCCTACCAAAGCCCTCAATGGAGCTGAGCCCAACTACCACAGCCTGCCTTCTGCTCGCACAGATGAGCAGGCCCTGCTCTCCTCCATTCTTGCCAAAACAGCCAGGTGAGCATCACAGGACCAGGCCTGGGACAGAGCTCCTCCATCCATGTTAAAGGCTGGGATAGAGGGAGCCAGCCCAGGACATGGGGGATGGGACAAGGTAAGTGGGGAGTGGTGCCTCTGGGCCCAGCCCTGCTCCAGTGGGCAGGTGGGGACACTGTTGTCACAAAAGCCCTGGAGTTGGTACCTGGCAGTGAGTCCTATTAGTCCCTCTTGGAAGTACCTGTCATGTCCTATCTGCTTTTTCTTTCCAAAGCAACATCATCGATGTGTCTGCTGCAGACTCCCAGGGTATGGAGCAGCATGAGTACATGGACCGGGCAAGGCAGTACAGGTGAGCACCTGGCCAACTTGGGTCCCTCAGGCTACTTGAGCTTTTCCTCTCCCTTCTCCTCCATCCCTAATCTAGCTTTTTTGGATTATGCATCCATACTCATTTGTATGCAGCCCAGGAGACTGACCACAAATTTCTTGGGTGCCTCAGTAGATGTTCATGTCAACCTGTTTGTCCTATGACACTCATGGGTGTGGGACGCCAAGAGAGGTGGCCCTTGAGTGAGTTTGTGGGGAGCTGAGGCCCCATCACCCTGCTGCTCTGGTCTGAGAGAAGCTTGCCTAGACTGGGCTGGGCAGAGCAGGGTAGACTGTGGCCTGACTCTCCACCCCACCCCTCCCTCTGCTAGCACTCGCCTGGCTGTGCTGAGCAGCAGCCTGACCCATTGGAAGAAGCTGCCGCCACTGCCGTCTCTTACCAGCCAGCCCCACCAAGTGCTGGCCAGTGAGCCCATCCCCTTCTCCGACTTGCAGCAGGTGAGCTGCCCCTCATCCCGCACATACTACCCAGGCTGTGGCAGAGGGTGAACACTCTCTGCCTCAAAGGAGGTGGAGAAGTGGAGTTAGCCTGGTAGCTTGTGGGCCCCCTTACTTCCACCTCACTCTCTTTAATTTCCTCCCCATTCCCTCCCTTCACCCTTTACTCTTTTTCTCCCCTTTGTTCTTTTCCTTCTGGCTTTCTCATCCCTGCCTTTCTCTTTGGCTTACTGTCCCCATTTTCCCTCCTCTCTGGCCATACAATCCTCCTCCTTTGGTTTCTGGATCTCCCTTCTCACCTGTCTCTCTATGTCCCTCTCTTCCCTGGTCCTTCTGTCTTAGGTCTCCAGGATAGCTGCTTATGCCTACAGTGCACTTTCTCAGATCCGCGTGGATGCAAAAGAGGAGCTGGTTGTACAGTTTGGGATTCCATGAAGACAGAGGTCCTTGAACAGCTCTTCTTCTCTTCTCTTCACCCCGTCTCCACCCTGCCTCCCCTGGCCCCCAAGCCTCAGTGCGACTTACACAGTACCCTAACCTGCTACTAATCACAGAGAAGTATGTGGAGGAGGAGGAGAAGAGCGAGGCTAGAAGCCTGAGCAAGTGAGGATAGAGCAAGGGAGGGTTAGAACCATTTGGGACTGGCCTTCAAAGCCCTGGCCAGGGGTGGGGTGGGGGTCAAAAGGATAGGGCCTGGGAGGTACCACTGTGAGGGTGATCACTAGGGGGCCTGTGGAGGCCTTCTTCCCACTCTTTCTCTTGGCCTCACTCCTGTGCCCCTCTCCCTGACTTGGTGCTCATATGCACCTCACTAGGGTTTGTGACCAGCGTCTGGACGAGCTTGAATTTGGATGAATTGAGTTTGTATTTCTAATACCCTGGGTTTTTACATGGTTGGGGATTTTTTTGGTTTTGTTTTGGTTTGTCTCCCTTGATAAAGGAAATGTATTCATCTGTGTGCTGGTTCTAGCCCCTCTGTCCTCCCTGCCACCCTACTGCTTGCTTCTGGCTAGTCAAGTCTGTGAGCAGTGAGATGATGAGGGGGAGAGGGGTGTCTTCTAGGGGCACTAAGAGGAGTCCAGGAGATAAAGGTTCAGGGTTGTCAGGTCTTAGCTGAGTCTCAACCTGGGCTAACCTCAAATTGGATAAGACTGCTTGTCCCTTCTCCAGTGATGGGAACACTGTTAAAGTTGAACAGACTTGAATCTAAGGCAGATGTCATTGAGTATCCTGCCTCAGGCTTTGTGGAATTACCAAGAAGTCTGGGAGGAGTTGGTGGTGGTGGTGCAGGCAGACCAAGAGTACCTGATATGGAGTGAGCCAGCCAATGTTTTAAAGCAAAAGATTCTTTTTATCAAATTAAATCTCAAGCAGAATCCCAACATATAAAACATGAGTAGAACTGCTCTGATCTAAGTGAGGAGGAGTTCAGAGCTCATGGCCTGTCTTCTTGGCCTCCTAGCACAGAGGCCTCTGAAGCATCTCCACAGAACCTCAGTGCTCTGTGAAGTAACTCTAATCACAGGATATCTGAGCTGAAGAGTAAAACAAGGGCCCAGAGTTTAGATAAATTTCCCAAGGCCATGCAGTGAACCCAGGTCCCAGGGCAACAGGCCTTTCCCTCCACTGCCTACCTTTCAGTGAAGTAAGACCAGAGCTACTGGCTATTGCCCGAGTTGGGGGGTATTTTTCTGTGATACAAGTGACTGCTAATCTGTTGAACAGCTCAAATCCTTTATTGTCAAACCAAACTGGCCATCCTCAGACCTTCAGGATGGCTGGGGGCCTGGGAACCTCAGACTGCATCCTGCTTGATCCGGACTTTCTTGGGCTTGATGTTCATGCGTTTCCACACTTCAGCTGTGGTGCGGTCTGCTTTGGTGATCCCACTGAAGTCGAACGTGGTGATACGGGGCAGGGTGCACAGCACATATTGCCTGTGGGGAAGACTCGGGCTGGGGGCCAGCCCCCGCCCCCACCAGCCCCCCCTTCTTGCACCACCAGCTGCTGCTATCTCCCCTGACTGCAGGAATGGAGGGACTTGAGTATAGTTTGGGGGAGACTGAGTTTATCCTGACTATGCCTAAATGTGTCTACTCCCTTCTCAGGCCAAGCATGGTAGGATGGTGCTGGGTTTCTTGTCTCCCTTCCTCCTTTCCCTCAGGGAAAGCCCAGCTCCAGGGCAGGGCACTTACCTATACCCCTTCTCTTCCTCTATGGGGTTACCATGGAGTGTCAGGCTCCGGAGCCGAGGGAGGACAGCCAGCTTATTTACCTCTCCCAGGCGCTGGATGCTATTGCCATGGAGGTAGAGGACACTTAGATTGAATAAAGTTGCCAGGACCTGTTGGAGAAAGAAACCGAAAACCAGGCTGGACAGGGCTCTGGATTTAAGCTCAGGACGAACTTCAGGGCAGAGAAGAGTTTGGCAAACAATTTGCCTTCACTTTCCCGAGCCCCATTCCCCAGCCATAGTGATGACTCCAACCTACTTTAATTATCTTTGAAGGGGCACAGAGACATCCCACTGACATAGAGCTATGATCTGAGGAGCAGGAGATATGGGCCTGGGTCCTAGCACTACCACTGGTTTGCTAGGTGACTGGGCTTTCCTGCCTCTCTCTGAGCCTTACTTCCCCCTGTACTGAAGACCTTTTCCAGCTTTGATGATCTAAGATTCTATCATGGCAAGGGGCAGGGATACAGAGCATCATGCTAGTCATAAGAACTTTCAAAATAGTAGTGAAATTGAGATTACTACACCTGGGGAACAGTTGTCAAGTTGTGCTCTAGCTCCCTTCTCTAACAGGGATCCTATACAAGAAAGGACCAGTTTTATTTCTTAAAACTTGAGTCTAAGTGCATGGAAAGTAAGTGCTATACTTTTACTACACACCTCTTCCAGAAAGAACTTAGTAAAGCACAGTGGGTGCCCAATAACGAGAGCTATGATTTGACTTCAGTCTCCTATATACTGATTGGCTTTCATGCATTCTCATTAAATCCACACAAAACCTTTATAATGTTGGTATATTATCTCCATTTTTTAGACAGGGAGGCTGAAGTTTTGGAGAGGATAGGTGGGTTGCCCAAAGTCACACAGGTAAGGGGCAAATCTAGTATTTGAACCTACGTCTGAGCTGACAGCTGTATACTTTGGATATGGTACCATGCTGCCTCATAACTTCTTCAATGAGATGTGGGAGGTAGAAAGGCTGGGGTGTGGACAAGGTATCTTCAGGCCCACACTGATGACTCAGAGGGCTGGGAACTCACAGGGTCAATGGAAGTCAGGTCATTGAAAGACAGGTCGATCCAGGCCAGGTTCTCCGGGTGCTCCAGCAGTTTTGAAATCACCTGGTTGAAGTCTCTCAGCTCATTGAGGACATTGTTGTTTAGCCACAGGGACTGGGTCAGTGACTTCCCTGACTTTGAGTGCTTCAGTGGTCGTAGCCCTGTCCTTGGCTCCTCGCTGATCAGATCTGTGGGAACAAAGTGAGACCTGGGTGTATGATCTTTGCCATTTCAGCTCTGTGGAATGAGAAAGGACAGAGCTGGGAGGATAAGCAACCTAAGTTGTAGCTGGAAGTGCTTGCAGGGCCGTAGCCCCAAGCTTGAGTCTAGTGAGACTCTTATCCACTGTCAGCTTAAGACCCCCATCTCACAGGCCCCAGCAGTCAGTAAGTTTGGACTACAAGGCCAAAGACTTTCCATCCCAAACTCTTGGTTTGGGCCACATGTTACTATATCATTGGGTCCTCTTTGCACCATCCCTGATGGTGTTGGGCTTGAACCAAGATGACGATAGCACAAAATTCAGAATTATGCACTAGTAGAGCCTATAGAAGTCACTTCAATGTAACACACTCTGATGTTCTCTCTTCCATTAATATTGAACTAGTACTCTGTGCCAGATATTGGATATACAATGGTGAACAAAACGAGAGACAGTCTGTGCCAAGCTCTATAGGAGTAATAGGGCAGGGATGAAGCAGATGTTTGTGTTTTGGAGGAGCTCATAAGGTCAAGCTGGAAACAAACTGGCCATTTAAGTTGTGGAAGCATCGAAGAGGGGCTCCTAACTCAGTCTGGAGGTCAGAGAAGTTTCCCAGGGAGAATGAAGCCTGAGCTGGATGGATCTCAGTAGATTAGAAGACATTAACCAGGCAAAGAAGGGTGAGAAAAGCATGAGCAAAGGCATGGAGGTGTGGAACAGCATGGGCACACATGTCTGCTGTACAAGGGGGCAAGGAGGAAAAAGGAGACAAAGAGCTTTGAATGTTAAGCTGAATATTTTGAACTTTATTATATGTTTTGGGAAGCCACTGGAAGGTTTTAGAGCAAGAGAGATAACTCACATCTTTCATTTCAGAAAGATCTCTCTGAAGCTTTAGTATGGAGTCTGGATTTTAGGGAGTGGGTGGGACTGGAAAACCAATTTGGCCCTTTATACCATCCAAGCAAGAGATGAGGGACAGCATGACTTGATGGTTGACTGCATGTAAGGGTAGAATATTCAAGGGTGCTGCCCAATTTCTTGTTTGGGTGACTAGGTAGATGCCAGATCTATGAACTGATGGAATTAAGAAAAGGAGCAACATGGTTGGGCAGGTGATAAGTTCAGACTTGGCCTTGATATGTCTGAGGTTCCTGTAGTAAGTACAAAGGGTGCAGAAGCCAAGTAGGCAGTTGGATATGAAGGTCTTAAGCTCAGGAGACAGAGACTTGAGAATCATTAGCATAGAGGGTGTATAAGTTTGATAAACATGAGATTCCTCAAGGACAGAGTAGAGAGGAGGGACAAAGAGGAAGGAAGTCCATTAAAGAGGTTACTGAATATCAGGGAAGGGAAGGGAAAACCAGGAGAGGATGGTTTCAAAGCTTCTCAGGGAATCCATAGTTTATAGCAGTCAGTTTAAGGAGATAAGGACTGAAAATAATTTTGGCAACTCAGAAGTCTCTGGTGACTTTGGTGAGGGCTGTTTCAGTGAAATATCAAGGGCCTGAGGACAGAAGCTAGATTGGAGTTAGTTCAAGGGTGAACAGAAAGTATGGGACTATAATCAGGTAGCAAAACAACACCCTCAGAAAGTTTAGGTGTGGAGGAGAATAGAGAACAGAATGATATTAGAACTCATCCGTATGGATTACCCCCTAAACCCCTTTCTTTTTTTGACAAATGAGGTCCAGAGAGAGGATAGGCTGTGCCCAAACTCACAGTGGCAGAGCTAGAACCAGACACCAACTCTGGGTGAGGTGACTATATTTTTCCTGTTGTCCCTATGCCTTTGGTTACTTGTCTAAAGCTGCCTCTCGGGAAGGAAATATTTAGTATTTGCTGAGTCTGGCCAGCTTGTCTTCACCCTCCTCTCAGCTCTTACTGGACACATTTCCTCTCTTCCACCCATCACCCATCGTTTAATTTCCTTTCCTCCTGAGCTGCAGGTCAGGCAGCATCCACCAGATGGCTCTCTGTCTTAGTCCTAGAGTGAGCAGAACCCATAGTTGGGGCGTGAGGTCGGGCGAAGGTGGCAGAATGGTACTGGAGCACCCCAGCTCATGAATAAACTAATCCTGCCTCCGAAAAGAACATCTCCTGACTGAACATCTCCTGTGAACCCTGAAATATAACGACAAAGATGAATAAACGTTAAGGTAAAAATAAGCCCAGATATGGATTAGTATCCAGTCTGATGAGACAGCAGCTTGGGAAATGCCACCACGCCTGGGCTGACCCCAAGCTCAGAAGGAACTACTGGTGCGATGACATTGCCTACAACTTGAAGCTGTCTGAAACTGTTGTTACGGAGGGTAGGGTAGGGTGTCAAGCTGTTATACATTATTGCTTCCCTTAGACTCCACTATAGCACTGCATTGCCTGAAGAAGTGTCGAAGCTGCCTTGCTCAGAGTATGCCTAGGCAAGTCTGGAAACTGAACCACAGATATCAACACTCAGAGAACTGGAGGTTGTCTAGCTCTAAGAAGACCCAGGGAAAACGTGGTTTTGTCTATATCTCTGAAGTGTCCCCAGAGGGCAGGAGTTAATATGATATGAAGAACTTCTTTGTCATTCCTTACTACATAACGCAAGGGGTTGGTAGGTGTGTATGATAGGGGACTCCCTTTGCACTATGTTTGTGAGCAGAAGTTAGAGGACTGGGTTGGAGGTAGCACAGACTGGGTGCCTTCTAAAGTCACTGCCATTTCAGATTCCATGGTCCATCTATTGATTAATATGGCAGATAGTGTATCAAGTACACCTTGAACTCTACCCTGTCCCTTAACCCCAATTTAAAGTAAGTGTTCTGTAAGCTCTGGGGAGCCTGAGGGGACTGGCTTTTTGGGGCTTAGATGGGCCTCTCCCTTTCCCCTCCCAACACTTAGCAGCCTGGCGTGCGCGCGCGCGCGCACACACACACACATATGTGCTTAATAAATAGGTGCTCAATAAATATTGAATTGCTGAAAGGACAGGGCATCTGTACCGATTGTTTTTTGCTGTGGGGTTCTCCATGGTTGTAGTAGCTTGGCTCTACCTTTATTCTGAGAACTCCATAGAGGGTTAACTACATCTCCCTGCTCAGAGCTGGGAACTCCCAGGGTAGGTAGGGGCCATACTTCCCTTATGTCACCTTAAATATCTTGTATGTAGCCATTTTTGCAGCTAAAACCCTTGTGAAACATGGACTACATCAATCAGAAGTGATGATGTACATAATGTATAAAGGTCACGGTAGGTGGGTGTATGCTCATGAAAGAACATGAGTTACTATTCTGACTGATGCCAACTTGTGTCGTACCCTAAACCCAAACCCAAGTAGTATCCAGTATCCTGGATAACTATATGCATGTTTCCTGAACTTAAAGGTGACCACCAATTGCCTAAGAGATAAGACCAAAACCAGATAATAGGTCTAGGATATGTTGATACAATCTGCGCTATGTGAGGGCAGAAATACCTGTGAGTATTTCTGAGTTTATGAGATCAGATAACAAAAGCCTGGGACAGCAGAACTTCCCTAGGAAGAAGCATATTCCCTTGAGAATATGATATTGCTGAGAGCCTACTGTGTTCCCTCTTGAGGTACTAGCTGCCCCGTTACAAAAACATCAGTGAAAATGGGAATTAGTGTGGACAGTGCTGGAACCTGCAATAAATGTGGGTGGATGATAGAATAAATTTGACTGCAATAGATATTAAAATGTCAATAAATAAACTGGAAACATGCCAGTTTGTTAATAACAAGACCCCACACGTTTTACCAGTGATCAGAACAGGCTTGTGTCCTTAGAGGAGATAGAGTTCTGCATGTTGGCCAGGACTCTGCAGCAGGCTCTGTTTTTACTTTCATTAGTTTCTGCCTCTCTCCAGGTAAAAACAGGAGAATAAACTATTGGCTGACAGACTGGCTTTCCAGTTTTCTTTCATCTGACTTGCCTGCTGTAGCCTGTCTTCTTTTGAAGATGATCAGTTACGCTGAAAGCACCTTGATTTCTTTCAGATTTGCTAATTTTTAAAAAGGGCAAACCCTTCTACTCCCACCTCCCTACCTTCTACTCCTCCCAGAAAAGACAACAAAAAAATCTGCAAGCATCCGAGAAGAATCTCTTCAAGTTTCTAAGACGGTTTTCTCCCTAGAGACCACACCAGGCCTGCTGCTATGCTGAACTCTGTAGGCTGACCTTGAATCACGTGGATGCTTCGGAAGGAGTAGTCAAGAGGGGGTTCTTGCACCGAAGTGTTCATGTAGTCCTGTTTGCTCATAGCTCAGGCCATCATTTGTCAGGTGTAAGCGTGGGCCCTGGGAGTCCGGGTTCAGCCTGGGAGGACAGAGAAGGACTGGTGTTCCGGGTACAAGGGACATAGGCCCTCAGGTTTCCCCATAGCCCTCCACTCCTCCTTTCTACTCTCTACTACTCCAGGCTTGCCTGGCTGCATTTCTATTTTAAGATACTAATCATGATTCCTTGCATTTATAGGGCACTTCCCACTTCTCAGAGCACCCACAGATCCCATAGAGCTCAATGATAGTTATAACACCCATTTCTATTTTCCAGATGAAGAAACTGAGACCCCAAGGTAAAAGCACTTGCCGGAAGTTAAGCCAGTGAGTCAGTTGTGGATTGCATTCATAGTCTGAATCCTACTCTGAGGCCCCTTCTGCTACTCCACAGTAGTTACCATGGAGGCTGTCTTGGTACCTACCCTCTGGTGACATCAACTGGGCTATTCTGTTGCTTAACAAACCCCTGAGGGCATGCGCTGGATCTGGTGTCTGACAGCCTTTTGCAGTCTGACCTAGCTGGGAATTTCCTCCCTTATCTGCTCATCTTGTCTGTCAGCCCCATTATGACCTTTCCTTCTGAAGACCCTATTTTCAGTCACATCCTGAAGGTAATCATACATATATAAACATATACAGATAAAACCAGAATCTACCTCACTCTCACTCACCTGTCACTGATGCCTGAAACTCCACCATTAGGGATTCATTCCTTTGGGTTCAGGGATTGTTCCCTGTTAAAATGGAAATACCCCTGAGAGGGGTGAACACAATGTTATCAGTCATTTGCAGTGTGGTGTGAATTGTCCCATCAGATCCTTTCCAATTTGTTGGCTCAAGTAAAACAACTTTTCCAAGAGACTAGGCAGAGCCATGAGAACACTACTCACCTGAGAAGAACAGCTGAAAACACACTCTACCGAGGGGTTATGTATGTAACTCAAAGAATAAAAGACAAATGGACTGACAAGAAGAAGTATATGTCCCAATCAACCTCCCCTTTCTCACTCTATCCACTGCCATTACCTCCTTTGCATTTTCTACTTCACTTGCTTTCCAAAGATATTTTAGGTAGTTTACAATAACACTCAAAACAGGATAATTATAGAACAGAAATGTCCAACAGAAATATAATGAATGTCACAAATGCAAGTCATGTAATTTTTTCACATATGTAATTTAAATTTTTCTAGTAGTAAAAAGAAAAGTCATAAGAAACAGCAAAGTTTAATAATATATTTTATTTAACCCAATATATCCAAAATGTCATTCAACATATAATCAATATTAAAAATTGAAATATTTTACACTTATAGCACATCCCAATTTGGACGAGCTATACCTGTCAAGTGCTCAATAGCCAGATGTGACTAGAAGCTATTATACTATACAGTGCAGATGTAGAAAATACAGACATGGAAGAGAAAGATTAAATGCCAGATTAAAGGGAGAGAGAGAGAGTACCAGGGAATTAGGAAACTAGGCTTATATTTAACTCTGAAATTCCTGTCAACCAAAGCAAAAAGGGAAACCTTAGGATATGTCATTCTCATCATTTGATTCAAAGAAACAAATAGTTTGAATGCAGAGACAATGAAATTCATGAATGTTCTTAAAATGGAATTTCTTTTAAAAGCTATGCAGTTGATAGTTTGTATTTGTTTAAGCATAAATTAGTTCATTTTTTTTTTTTTTTTTTGGTGATTTAACATGCAAGGATAGAGTTTAACAAGTTTAGAGGAATGAAAAGTGGCTTTCTCTCAAAAAGCAGTCTCAACAGTTTAAATTACATATGAAGTGTGGGCTTGAGTCACTTCACAGCGGAATTCTGTCAAGGCAGGACTGGTCTGGTGGGCATGGGTTGTTGATTAGGGAGATCTGAATCTTGTAGATATTAAATCTACAGACAACAAAGAACACATTCTTTTGTAGAAATAGAGGAACCTTGCTTGTGTTCTCACCTAGACAGAAGCCAGTTCCACTTGAGAATATAACAGGCCTGATGCCTTTCAGCAAGATTGGATACTTTCTCAAAGTAAGACCTTTGAGAATTCTGCACTACTTGACATGAATTTTAGCTAAAAATTAAAGGGCAGATTTTTACCATTAATCTCCTTGACCACCAAAGAACCTCAGTGCAGTGCCTAAAAAAACTTCTGATTTAGTACGGGCTCCAGATGCATTTCTTTCTGTGTTAGTATTAAAAACGGGGCCCTCAGTATTTGGATAAATTTGCCAGTTGGAAAGGGTTATTAGTCTTCTCCATTTAAACAGTAGCCCAAGCTGTGAGTATTATGTCTTATTTATCATCTATCACAGAACCTGGCTTTCAACAGGCACTTGGGAAATGTTTGTGAGAAGAATGAATGAGAAACTGCCAAATACAAAGATTTCTGTTTTGGGAATGTTGATGCTAAGCTGCTTGTTCCCACAACTGGCTTTGAGGTTCAGCTGTTTCAGTCCGCACCTCATTCACAGTTAGATATTCAATTCAATTCCGCAAACATTTGTTGAGTGCCTGCTGCCCTATGCCTGACCAGAAGGGATGAAGCCAACATACAAGTAACAGAACCCTGTCTGTCATGAGCACAGAAAGGCCTACTGGGTTTCTACTGATTGTGGCAAACCAACTTGCATCCATTTCTAAGAAACAGTTGCCTACTTAGTGACTACTCTCACGTTTTAATAGTTAGCCTTTTTCAATGAAGACTTTCTTTTCAGATAAAATTGATCAATGTGTCTTGTGTTACATTGGTCCCTTGATCCCTGTTCATGGTCTCCTGTTTCCATCCCTTTTGCCCTATAACTTTTAGTTCCATCCACTCTGATGCTGGGCTTGGCCAAGTGACTTGTTTTGGCTAATGGGATGTTGGTAAACATGAAGCAAACTCGCTTAAAAGGGGGCTTGCCCTCTTGCCCTTTGCCAGTGCCAAGAGAACATGGCTAGCCTACTGGAGGGACATGAGAAATATGTGCAGGTGAGAGATACGTGAAAGAGAGCCAGTGATCCCAGCTAAGGCTATCTTAGACTAGCCTAATAGCCAGCCTACTCCATGTCGAGGTCAGGAGAGTCACCCAACCAACAGGTGAATGCAGACACATGAATGAGTCCAGCCAAAGCCAGAAGAAATACATGGCTGACTCAGAGACCTGTAAGCAATAAATGCTTATTGTTTTAAGCCACTGTACTTTAGGATGGTTTGTTATACAACAATAGCTACCTGATAGATGCCCCCAGTGTACTTTGAACAAAATTTTATAACAGCTTGTTTCTTAAGATGGAGACAAATCCCATCTTAAGAGCTGTTGTATGTCCTGCAGAAGGGGCTCAATAAATTGAAGCAGTTGTATTCTCTGTACTTATTTCTTTATGACTTACTTCCTATTGTCTTTCTGTAAACTTGAGGTCAGGGATAAAAGTCAGACTTCGTTCTCTTTTCCTACCACTACTCTGCACTGAGCCTGGCAAAGAATATTCACTAAAGGTTTGCTAGAAAAATGGAAAAATGAAAGAAGAAACAAAGTAATAAATGAATGTTATCTTCAATGGTGTCACATAGTGAGCCTGACTGCTGGAGAGAATTGACAAAGCCTTTAAACTGCCTTGCTCATTCCAGTGGTTGTGTTTTTGGATTCAGTCTTTCCCAGCTGCAACTCTTCCTCATGACCAGGAGCTAGTCAGATCCCAGCACTTTCCTCATCTGTCCAGACTGACTGACTCGATGAATGACAGGGTTAGGGGCATACCTGCCTTGTTTTGGAATCTTTCTTTTCCAAATTGGAAGTATCTTTTACTGTTTTTCTTTTTTTACTTTAAAAAGTTAATGTGATAGCTGAATAAAGTCAAACAACATACAGAAGTATATTAAGCAGAAACTAAAAGCTGACTCTCTACCTCACTCTCCAAGAACAATCATAACAGTTTGGGAATATAATTTCCTCGAAGACATACATAATAAAATTCTGTATACTTTAAAATAAACACATACTGTCTATTCCTTTGTTAACTTTTTTCTTTTCAAATTGTACTCTTACCCTTTTTAATAGCTGTAGAGTATCTCATAGAATTTGTGTGTACCTTACTTTAACTTTATTTACTTAATTTATTTAACCAATCCTAAGTTGATGGAAATTTGTTTTCAGTTTTTGGAAATTACTAACAATTGGAATTTGATTTGTTGATAGCCTATACCTGCCCTCTCAGGTAAGTAGCAACATGACGGCACAGGAAGCTTTGAGGAATAATCAGATGTGATCTGCTAGGAGGTTTAATGGCCTGGCCTAAGAAGGATTTCTGTTTGTGGGCTACAGGTGGGAGAGGAATCAAAGTATGTCACAAAAAGTCTGCCAAATTATCTAATGTGTTCTTGGAGGTTGTTTCCAGGTGCCAAAGGGAGGCTCAAGATTCAACCTAGCTCCTGCCCACTTCTCTACTCCCATCTGTTAGCCTCACCCTCCACTTCTGCAGTCAACTGCAATTATTCAAAGTAAGTTCCCTCACCTGCTTCTGGGCCTCTGCACATCCAGCTTTCTCTGCTTGAAATACAGTTTCTTCTTCCTTTTACTTTGCTAATTTTTACTTCATGACTCAGCTCAGGTTTCACCTTTACTGAGGAGCTGAACCTTATGCCAAATCTTGGATGTGGAATTTCTCTTCCGGGATCCCAAACACCCTATAGTTACTGCCATGGTAGCACTCATAACACTAGGATGATTTGCTTACTATCTGTATGTCCATAAACTCCACCAGGGCAGGAACCATGTTTTTCTCATATCCCTACAGTGGTAGCAAGTAGCAGGTACTTAACAAATACATAAAAATTGCAACAGTGAATAATACTATAAAGGAGAGGGACATGAGGTTACTACAACTTAGGGGTCTGACCTGATCTGAGCAGTCAGGGAAGACATTTATTAAAGCAGTGATAGAAGAGATTGAGGATAAGTACAAATTATAGCAGGAGGAAAAGATGAACATTCCAGGCACACATAACAGCATGTACAAAGGCTCTATGGTGAGAGATTACTTGGAAATTTTGAAGACTTTAAAGAAAGTCATATAACTTGAGGGGAGAAAGGGAGGGCTATGTATGGTTAGACTGGAGGCTGGGGAGGTGGGTAGAAGCCAGGCTGAGATGTTGCTTGCTGCTAAGAGCAATAGGAAGCCACAAGGTAAATTTTGAAATGAAGGATTACTCTGGTTGCAGTATGCAAAATGGCTGGGAGGGAAGGCAGGAAGGATGTGATGGTACTTAGGACTATATTAGTAAAGCTGGCAGGACTTTCTGATGGATGGGAAATTTAAGAGGTATTAAGGATAACTCTTGCGTTTTAGGCTTCTGTAATGGATAGAGGTAAGAACACTGAAAGAGATTCAGGCTTGGCATACATAGTATGAGTTCAGTTGCAGACAAGTAGTGTTTGAGTTGTCTTTGACATATTCTGAAGATGCTGAAGAGGCAACTGACTATATAGATCTGGAGCTTAGAGATTGGGGCTGGGCTAGAGATACACTTGTGTACATATGCATACAAGTGGTAAATGAAGCTGTGGATGTGGATGAGAATACCCAAGAAGAGATATAGAGTGAGGTGGGAAGTAGACCAAGGACCAAGCCTGGGGGGACTTTAACATCGTAAGAAGACGAGTCAAGGCCAGCTAGAAGCGAGCCAGAAACCAGCTAATCATGGCAGCATTAGACGTGGGTAGCCAGGCTGTTCTGATCAATTTAGTTAAATTTGATTGATTCCCATTGTTTTCAGTCTCTTTAGTTTCCTTTCTCATTCAACTTTCAAGGAAGGATTTGAAACTCTTTCAGGCTGCAGTGTAAATAATCCAATGTGGGCCATACAGGTTCCTTTTCCCTGGGGCAGTTCCTATTTCTCAGAACAAGACTTAGGCTAGAGAGGCTGTGAGAGACTTCGTTGGAAGTTGGCAAACTGGGGCCTAGTCCTAGCTGTCACTGACTTGGTCTGTGGCCTTGGACAAGCGACTGCCCTCTCTGGGTTTCAGTTTTACAATCTGTGAAATGGGGTTAAATATCTTTGACTCATAAAGCTCAAAAGAGACATGGGATGTGAAAGTGCTGCTTTACTAAATGTAACAGGTCTGTCATGAAGACTGCAAAAGGAGTGAAGCTCTAACTGTAAATCTTTGAGAAACAGACCATGGAAGAGATATAAGGAAAAAGCACTAATTTGGGGACAGGACCTCTAATAAGTGTGTGGAAAGT